AGGGGCGTGGAAGGGAGCGCGGGAGCCGCGCGCGGAGCCGGCGGTGACCTCAGTGGCCAGCCCGCCTCCCGGGTCCGCCGGCGATTAAACGCTCCGTCAGAAAGAGGAAAAGAGGCGCAATAATTCCAAATTTCAGGAAACGTCGACTCCGAGAGGGGCGCGCAGGCCTCTCGGGATCGACCCTTCTCCGGGCCTCGCTGAATGTGAGCGCTCTCTCCACAGCGCACAGAGCGCGCCGGGAGGGGCGCGGGCAACGGTTCGATTCCTTTCATCCCGCCCCCACCCCCACCCCCACCCTCATGCCAGACCGAATTATTTACCAAGGTTCCCCAAGCCGAATTACTAAGAAAGACTCCGCCAAATCAAACTTAAAACCCACCCAGAGCAGACGAAACTAAGAGTTCGTTTTTGGGAGGACGGGGGGTGGGGTGGAGGAGAAAATGGTAATCCCGGAAGGGCCGCCAAGAGCCCAGGACTAGGGTCGCGGTCGAACCCCTATTCCTCGAGCAGATCCTCCAGGGACCACTCGGGGTTACAGATCCCAGTGCCCGACGCCAGACGCAGGCGTCGACCCCTGCTCCCCGGCGGCCGGCGGGCGTGCGGAGAGCCCTGCGCACCCTCCACGTGTCTGGGGTGCCGGCGACCAACCCCCGGGGAGGGGTGTTGGCTCGGGAGGAGTCCGCGCGACAGGGGGGATCGGAATTCGGGGTGGCCTCAAGTAAGGCGTAGATGCTACCGTCGCGGGTGCAGGATCCTGGACCGGGTGGGCTGGCTTTGCCCGCCGACCCTTGAATAGTTAGCAAGCTACCGTGCACTGCACGGATCAGGTCCCATGGTGCGTCCGAGCCGACTCCGGAGACCCCGCGAGGAGGTACGCCCGCCCTCTCCCGGCCCCGCGGCTTGTCCCTACGGCGTCGCCACGGCGCTGGGGTTCTCTAGGCGTCCCAAGCCAGAAGATCTGCGTAGGAAAGGGTTGGGAGAGCCACTCCTAGTTCTTGTGACCAGCCGGGGTCTGAGGAGTTGGTAGTGACAAGAGAAAATTCGCATTTTTTTCCTTCCTACCTTCCCTGTTCCCACTTTCCCCCCCTCCCCCTCTGTTCTGGGTTTTATTATGGTTTTAGGTTTGGGTTTTGGCAATTCATCATAAAGCAAACGACAAAGGCTTGGAGCTTTTAGTCCAGCCCTTCCTCTTATCCTTCTGGATAAACTAGTCTCAGAATCGGGAAATGGCTGACCCAGAATATCACAGCCAGGGCTCAACTGGACTGGAACCCAGGCCTCCGTCCTCTCAAGTCAGCCTTCCCGCACTTTTTTTTAAAACATAAGAATAAATTTATTTTTAAAATACGGAATGCTTCACGAATTTGCTTGAGATCCTTATGGGGGAGGCCATGCTAACCTTCCCTGGGAGGGAGCGCCCCCCACCCCTGTGATCAAATGTGGCATCACTGCCCTTCTAGTCCGCATCTCCCACCTCTCCTGAGGCTGTGAGATTTGGCTCCGTTGGGAGAGATCCCCGTGCCCCCCCTCCCGTGGGGGAGTCTGCATCTGAGGCGATCCCAAGGTTTCTGAACCAGGTTACCCTGCCTCACACCTTCGGGAGTGCAGGAAGAGGGAGCCTGGAAAAAGGTGGTGATGAGGCAGGGAGCTGTTCCTTTGTAAGGTAGGGGGTGAAAGTACTTCCATCACCGGTTTTGTGTGAGTGCATAAAGACACACAGGACTCGCATGTTGTGTTCGATTTAAAAAAATTTGGACAGAGTGGCACAGCCATGGCTCACCACTGCCTCAACCTCCCAGGCTCAGGTGGTCCCCTCACCTCAGCCTCCCTAGTAGCTGGGACTACAGGTGCACACTACCATGCCCTGCTAATTTATTTTTTGTAGAGATGAGGTCTCGCTATGTTGCCTAAGCGACCCTTCTGCCTTGGTCTCCCAAAGTGCTGGAATTAGAGGCATGAGCCACCGCACATGGTCAGAGTTTTTGATACATTTTAAAGGGCTGCTGGGTAAGGATCCTACAAGAGTTCTGAGAAGCCCTCAAGAGTATAGGAGAATTTAGGACAGACACCATGAATCTCCTGGCTTGGGAAGATACCCAAAGCCAACTGCTGCCAAGGCCTGCCAGAAAACCCACTCCTGCCCTTTCTTCCTCAGTCCAACAAGAAAGGCCTCTGGGTGGAAGGCCCTGGGAGGAAGTGTCTCTTCCACTCATCCTTTCAACTCCAGCTCAAAATCATCTCTTCTGTGGAATCTTCCCCGACAGCCAACCCCACCCCCCAAAACATTTTCTTCCTTTGATGCGCCCTGAGAGACTTTTCTTGGAACTCCACCCCTGTACTGCCAGGTTCTGGGTCCCACCCTCCATCCAGAGGAACATGACGGTGGCAGAAAGGAAGGTTTGCAAGAATCTATCCCCAAAGATTCCCAGCCCCTGCTCTAAGGAGGTGGCGGCACAGCTAGAGTTGGGTAAGAAAAGGAGAAAGGCAGTGTCACATAGGAAAAGCATTTCTCTACCAAGCAAACACTCCATATCCAGCTGGATGAGAGGGGAGTAGGTTCTCCAGTCATCCAGAGGAGAGGGTCTTCTATAGAGACCCTTCTTCCCAGCTCCAAGGCTTTAGAGTGGAGAGCTCCAAGCCAGATGCCAAGGAGTGTTTGCTTGGAAAAAAACCTGTCTCTGTCCCTTCTAGTAGTGAGTCCAGTCTGAAGCAGACTTGTCCCTCCTCCCTGCAGGACACGAGACTATGGGCTTCAACCACCCAGGTGCCCCCTTCCTTTGATTTTTGTCTCTCCTAGGGGGCTTGACCCTGGCCATTCCCCAATGCCTTGTCCTGCCCTTCCAGGCTTCCCTCTTTCACTTATCATCATCCTCTCCCTTCGCCCAACTCAACGACTGCTACCTTTACTGGGGGACTTGATCATGAGAGCAAGTGTGTGATTGAGTGAGTGAGAGAGAGAGAGAGAGAGAGAGAGAGAGAGAGAGAGAGAGAGAGAGAGAAAGAGAATGTGTGTGTGTGTGTGTATGCAAAGAAGAATGTGCCTGCCAAGTTGCATCATATTCAAGTGGGAAAAAGGTGTGCGGGTGTGCTGGGGAATCTGTGAAGACTGGTGAATTGGGGAATGGATCTTTCCCTTAGCATAAAATTGTAGGTGTGTGGCCATGTATCTCTTATAGGGTGCTTAAATGTTATATGCTTGAATTTTCTGTATTTTCAAGTATGTACACCAGCGATTCGACTTCACTTGCTGGCACTTGTCTGTGTAAGAGACAAGTACTGCTTGGTGTTTTTATTCAAGAATGGTGATAAACCGGGCTCGGTGGCTCAGCCTGTAATCCCGCGCTTTGGGAGGCTGAGGTGAGTGGATTGCCTGAGCCCGCGGGTTTGAGACCCACCTTGGCGCGAGACCTCATCTCTACAATAAATAAAAAATTAGCCGGGTGTGGTAGCATGCGCCTGTAGTTCCAGCTACTTGGAAGGCTGAGACGGAAAGACTGCCAGAGCCCAGCAGGTCGAGGCTGCAGTGGCCACTCTGGCTCACTCCAGTCTGAGTGACAGAGTGAGACTCCAAATAAAAAAAAAAACAAAAAAAAAGAAGAATGGTGATAATCATCTTTGGGTATGTAGATGTATACACATCACAGTCTAAACTGTTTGCAGATGCATGAATGGGCCTCTCTTTTCATTGAGGGATGCTAGTGTGAACTTCAATGTAGACATCTGTATATTGGCATATGAGAATATGTATGTTCTGAGCTGCCTTTAAATCACATTCTTTTTTTAAAAAATTATTATTATTTTGAGTCAGAGTCTCACTCTGTCACCCAGGCTGGAGTGCAGTGGAACCATCACAGCTTACTGCAGCTTCAACCTCCCGGGCTCAGGCGATCCTTCTGGCTCAGCTTCCCGAGTAGCTGGGACTTCAGGTGCCTGCCACCACGCCGAGCTAATTTTTTGATTTTTTTTTTGGTAGAGACGAGTTCTTGCTATGTGGCCTAGGCTGGTCTGGAACTCCTGGGCTTAGACAGTCCTCCTGCTTCAGCTTCCCAAAGTGCTGGGATTACGGGCGTGACCCACCGTGCCCTGCCGCGCGTATATATGCTGCATTTGAATGGAGTCCCTGTGCAACCGTGTACATGTGGCAACATATGCTTGTACATGTGAACACGTGCCCATCAGGCCATGGGTACCCATGTTTAGAGGCAGGTCCCGCATAGAGACCTGAAAAATGCAGCCAGGGACACCGGCCTGCCGTATTTCCTCTGCCTCCCGGGAGCCATCAACTGGACGCATCTCGCACTCCCGGATTCTGTCCCGGTTCGAGCAAGGCTCCAGCCTCCCG